GACAATTGACAACTAGTTGTCTGCTCAATATTAATTTCGATTAATTGTAATATCGAAATGTGGTTCTAGTATTACATATGTCAACTTGACTTTTCTATATGAATCTCAAGTTATAGGTTGACTTGACCGCTTGATAAATTAATTTAAAAATTTCGGTTGATTATATATTGATTTTTTTTTTTTGTGGACATTGTTGTATATTGAAATAAAAAGGACAAAATTTCGTATAATATATTAGTACCTCTTTCATGTCATAGCACATGGCATCTACAAATGTCAAGATGTCACAGAAGAAATATATAAATACAATTTTAAAACACTTTGCTTTTGCTAATTGTGAATAGTTACGGGTTTTCTAATAATTGCAAACAATATTTGTAATTCAAAAATGGATGAATATGGGAGTACAATTATATATTAGAAAAAATGTCCAAGATCTTCGAATTGTGATGAGTGCACATATGTCATCACCGGTGTCTTCACGCTAATCTTACAAAATTGAACGATAGAAATCAATTTCAACAGTAGATATAGACTGGGTCAATTAAGGTAGATATGGTCCAAATATGTTGGTTAGAAAATAAGTGGAATATTTCAGGTTGGATAGTGTGTTAGATAATATAAAACACGTAGTTAACCCACAAATAAAGAAATTTGAATAGAAGCACTTGCCAGATAATTTTATAAATCGAGTCACTTGATAAACATTACAAATGGGGTGATAAACAATGGACTCACATTTTCATAACAGAGTAAATAAATAGTATGCCATGCACAACCACTAAGCAGTATCTATTTAAAATCGTTGTCACAAATGTACATAAAAAAAAAAACTAACGTGGATTTTGGTCCGGAAGATCCATCACAAATTCAGATTCTCACAAGAACAATTTATACAAACAACAAGGAAACAAAAGTGTTATAAAGGTGAAAAGGAGAGACACTTGGAGAGAGTTAAAGAGATCAACGTGTAGCAATCAAACCCAAAAGAACATTCACCAACTCGTGATGACCCCAAAACATTCCAACTACATATCTTTTACACACACACAAACACCTACTCGTATCTCCTCAACCTACGTGACGTTTCTCCATCATTACCAACTAGTGAACATGAACACAAGTCTTAAAGAGGGTCCCGAGTCCCAAAATTATACTATATAACACGCAAGACGAGACCCACCTACGAAAAAAATATTTTCTTTTTCTTTGACTTGGTGCATGTGGTGTGAGAGCTAAGTGAGGATCTTGAAAGGGAAAAAATAAAACAATTGTAATTATGTGAAGAAACGTAATCATTGAACAAGAGGTGTAATTTAGAAACACCTGCTACCTCTCTCTCCTGTTTCCACGTATTTCCAGAATCTGCTGCTATATTGACTCTTAATATAAAATATATTCCATGTTCATATCATCATCATGTGTTGATGTGGATGCATAATATGTGAAACTGGTTTTGATTATTAACTGATGATTTCATATGAGAACTTTCAAGAATGGGATTGAAAATGTAACAGCTGATTCACTTTTCTCAGGGAAAAAGACATAAATGGACTCATAAATCAAATCCAGTTTCAGGTTCAGAAGAGTAAAAGTAAATCTGGAAACAAAATTTATGTCAGAGGTTTAAACACAAAACCCAAAAGCAAATTTTATTAATCTGAGAAAAATATTGAGCTCTTGATGAATGACTGCAACTCCCACTTTTTTCATTTGCTCTCTGCATCATATATGTCCGTTCTGTGATTTATCTATAAGGAACAATCAAACCAATAAAAAAAAAAAACACTTGAAATAGATCATCAACAGTAACAACATGTACTTTCCAAATCCACATAATAGACTTTACTTATGTCAACTGAAGCTAAACATTAAGAAACAGCACCAGCTTAAACTATTCTCAACAAGTTAATCGCAAGCACTTATGCCGGCTTGTAGTCGAGTGGAAAATGACTGAAAGTTTGGATATTTGCTCTCCCTACCATTAGGAATCTGAGGTTACTTACACACTCAAGAATCACATCATGGACAAGAGAGAAAACATACCAAACTGTTACATTTTTCTCCAATGTACAACATCTGCGAAACCATCACGCCACACATGACTTATTTTGAAACCTAGAATACCTGAATCAACTACATGATCACTTTCTTTAATTCCTTAGTTTGGTATATAGATGGTTAATAGTATCAATTCTAAAAACAAGATGTGTCATAGATTGAACAAAATTCACTAAGAAGATTGATGCAGGAAAATGGTTAATTTTCTAACCACCACCTAACCAGGATTCACTGCCTTAGTCCCTGTGCTTACACATATCTTATCTCCAAGCAAAATCTCCAAAAACTACGAAGTATCCGTTCGAAGAGATTCCAATTTCAATGCATATTGACAATAATCTACAATGTTGATTTGGTTAGAAGTTCACAAATTTAGAAGCTAAGAGTTCCAATTAACATCATTTAGACAAGAAACCACCAACGAAGTAAATCAAGGAGGCAGTAAAAGAGGATACACGAGATAGAAGCCATGAGCAAAAGCACCGGCGAGGACAAGACCGAAGAGACGGTCTCTGAGAACTGGCTTATGTCTCAACGAGAGGCGAATCAGAGGAAGAGCAGGCGCGTAGATGAGAGGAACCAAGAATTTGATGGGTGCTCCTTTCTTCTTCCTCTCCCTCACAGGATTTGAAGGATCGCTTGAAGACGCCATGGCAGATGATCTTCTTCTTCCCCTTTCACTTTCCTTCCAATTGCGATTTGCGATACAATTTAGGGATTGCCTTTTTTTTCTTTTCTTCTTATTTCGCAATTAGCCCCTCTTTTTTTTAGGACATTTTTGACCAAATACACGTTTTCTTTAATTTGTAACAAAATAAAATTTAAGAAATTGTGTCGGAAGTGATGAAGAAAGGTAACAAAAGTTAAAAGTGTGGCCTAAATTTGATGATATTTTGCTTTGTTACAATGACGAGTTTAAATCAAACGTTACAATTATAAGCTATTCAAGAAGCACAATTCCTAACATGGCAGCAAAGTTTCTTGAAAATTTTGAGTTCCAAAACTTATACTATCTATGAGATTTTAGATAAACTAGGGAGAGACGATTATGTGAGTAGTTTTACTGCGATACGGCTGAAGTAACTTGAAGTAAAAACAATATATATCTATGGTTGAAACTTTGAAACACACACACATGATAAGTTTGAACATAACAATTTTATTGGGTGTTGTAGCCAAGAAGAAAAAGAATTGAATGTGGTATATTTGAGAAAGCATTGCAAATAATTTAGACGGAGGTTTAATCATCTGATATATGACGTCAACCAATCATTGTATTTAACTGTAGAGCATAGAAGAAAACTCAACGCTGAATTTGGAATTGTGTCATGGACATTTCTGCAAAATCTAGGAGATCGAACAAGAAAGCCTTGGGGTGATTGGTATTCTCAATCTGAAGTTGATGATAATTGCAATTCTCCAATCCGTGGAGAATTTTACCAAAGAATGCCTAATACATGCCATTTTTCAAGGGTGAGCGCAGAAGTCTCTCAAGTGCTAGAAGATAAAATCTCTTAAGAACAAAAGAAAAAAGTAAGTTATTGTCACTTTCTCACTTATTTGTAAATTGTGGGATTATGGTAGCTCATTGTTGGAGAAGAAATGTGGAACCACATTCGTGATTTGCCTTTGGGGGTAATTACACGGTTCATTGAAATTAAATTCGGTTGATCGTTGAAGGTTGTCCAAAACCTACTTATGAAGTAAGTTATTTGCGAAAAAAAATGCAAGATATGGTACTTGTTCGGTAGTACATCGGCTCGGTTTTTCCTAGCATAATTTGAAAACATAACGGCTCTAAAACGTGCATGTGCATTTACCTTACAAGAATGATAAAAGTTGATGTGCGAAAAAAATTCATCGAAAGGTGTTGAAAAAAGGAGAGTCAAAGAAAGTTAGAACCCAAGTAAGCAAGATTTGATGAAGGTGGTTAAGAAGGATATTGCAACTTGGTCAAAAAAAGACAAAATTTGCTTTGCGTATTTGTCTATTTTAGCTACTGCCACCATAGGCGACGATCTCAAGAACAAGCTCTGTAAATGAGCTTGTATGGTTTTCTATTTGCCCAAGTTTAACAGATTCCTTGCGGTAGATAAACTTTCATGATGCTGATTAAATCAGTTAAGAGAGCAAATTGGAGGAACAACCAGCCACAATACATGGGTTCTTATAAGTACTTCAAATATTGATGTACAATCTTTTCCTAATCTCTGATTAAATATGGATAATCTATTAGGTATTGAAAGTTCTCCCCTTCTGAAGTTCAATGGTAGAAAAGGGAATAGGAAAGGCGGCATCGAACGTTATAGGATCTTAGATTCTAATGAGAAAAACATTGAGAATGCTTTTATCAACAAACGAAAGCTAACTGTTTGGGATTGTGGTGTAGGAAAGTATGAGAATATTGACACTCTTATGCAAGCCATATGCAAAAAAGGTTTGGAAGATGTAATTTGGGTGGAACAAAATTTGAAAATCGTCGATAAGAAAAATAATACACCAGAAAACAAGATATTGATGGAGGTGGAGAGGCTGAATCGAGGAGAGAAATTG